GAGCTGGGGTTTGAACCCAGGTTCTCTGACAAAGAAAAGCTTTCACAAGCCCTGGGCGTCTGGCCCCACCCACCTCAGCAAGGGCCTCTCCCCTCGGAATCCCCCAAGCGGTGGTGGGGAGGATTCAAAGGGCTGAGGAGGGGGTCTTCACAGTGCAACCACATCCTGTGACGGTTACCCTGGGAAGCGCCCTCGTTCTCTTCCCCTCAGGGACAGGTGAGGGGAAAGCAGGCCACGCCCACCCTTCCCATTTACACCTCTGAGAGCAGACCATTGGCCACGGTATCTGGCCTAGTTACTACCTCTGGCTGAGGAGGTGCCCATCTTCCCCCATGGGGCTCCCATCTGCAGTCCAGCCTCCTCTTGGACTCCTCCTGGGCCAAGAAGCTCACTGCCTCTAGAGGCGGTAACCATTCCGCCAGAAGAGCTCTGAGCACAAAGGCCCCTCCACTAACCTCCCCGGTGGCCTCGGATGCTTTTGGGCGCCCAGGTGGCAGCAGGCAGGGCTGCAAGTCTTTGCACACGTGCAGTAGATCAAGGAGTGAGGTGGGGTGCAAATACATGTCTTCCATTTCTCTCCCTTCCGTTTGTCAATGCCCCAGCCACAGTCGACTTCCCGGTTCATGCACGCGCGCGCACGCACACACACACACAGAGACAAAGAGACACAGAGTTAGAGAGAGAAAGAGAGACAGAGAGACAGAGATGGTGCTGCGCCCTGCCTGTTCCCATGGACCCTCTCTGATCCTCTGCCCATAGCTTCCTCTGAACCCCGGAGCTGCTCAGCACCCACATAAAGTCGTCTGTGTGTGTTTAATGTTAATACACTCCCCCTCCCCAGCTAATGGCGGGAGCTGGTGCATCAATATCGTGGCTCCTTCCCCCTCCAGTAGGTCAGCTCTGAGGAGTGTCCTCCACCTCCTCACAGAGGTCCTCAGCAGCAGTGTGACCCAGGTGCTCACAGTAGTGACCAGCCTATTAGCAGATCGTGCATCCTTCCTTCCTTCCTTCCTTCCCTGTGCCCATTTGTCCTTTTCTATCCCACACTCTTCGGGATCATCTCTCAAACAACTTCATCTCTCAAATAAACAACTTGCTCTCAAGTCCTCATCTCTGCTGCCAGAAAGGAGAATGCAACAATGTTACACAACAATGTGTGAACACACATAGACACACCCCCACACACACTCTGGATTCTGTACAGATGCTTCAGGATGCTGAGTGCCCAGGAACACAAGGAAGCGCGTGCCTGGGGCCGGGGATAAGCCTGTTCTCTGGAGAAACCAGGGACCCTGGTGGCCAAGGGGGCGGAATGTTCCAGTAAACCTAGACTAGCCATCATGAGATGCTCATTCTTCATCCTGCCCACAGTGGCCCTTCCCTGTCCACCACCCCTTCCCGTGCTCACTCTTAGTATATCGTCTGGCATGTAAAAGCACTGTTCTGGCTTGTAGTTGTTTTTGTACCAACAAGTCCGACTCACAGCTGACCCTCCAGTGGGTTTTCAGAGGCTGAAAATCACAAGGAAGGAGATTGTCCATCTTCCTCCCATAAAGCAGCTTGTGGATTTGAACCACATACCTTTGCATTGGCAGTGAAATTCCTTGCCACAAAGCCACCAAAGCTCCGTTCTACTAAAACTATATTAAATACTACTGTGTTATTGTTTTTTGAAGCAGGAGTGGCAGCTTCTCAAACATGCCTCTAGAAACTCTATGAACTTTGAGAAATGATGATAGTTATAGAAAGGCTTCAGGTCTTTTGTTCATAGGGTTGCTATGAGTCATGCTTGACTCGATGGCAATCAACAACATGTTGTTGTTATGTGATGTCGAGATGTCTATGACTCATAGCGACCTTATGAACCCTGCCCTATCCTGAGCCAGTCTCACAGACTCCAACACTAGTATATACTGGGATATATATATATATATA